CGGCGTGCCGACCGTGAACGTTAGAAATTTCTCTACCATATTGTCTCGAAAAGAAAGATGAATCATTTCTCTTTGTGCTTAGCGCTCCCGCCAAGCTATCCTCCATAAATAGGTCACTGGGCGGTCGATGTTCCGTTTCGCCTTGGCACGTACTAGCAATAATGCAATAATTTGCCCGGTTCTGCTGCGACCTTGGGCCCCTAGGGGGACAAATTGGGCAGCGTGAGGTTAAATATAGAGATGTGGGGCCTAAATACACAGGTCGGAGATTAAAGGTTGGCAGCCGACAACAGGTGAAAACATAGTTGGGATGAGGTTGTCAGCCTCCCGAACCACACTTCCCAGAATCAACCACCGGTTTCTCGTTTTCCGACTGCCGACCCGATCCCACCCTCGGACACTTCTCGAACTTAGCTGCACACGCCGTCGCCGCCCTCCCGTGGGCTGAGCGCATGCGGGGTCTGCCACGATGGAGCGGTTCCTACGCGACTGGAGGCAGGATGCCCTAAACAAAGCACAGTACGAGTCCGCCATCTTTGTCGGCGACAAGCTGCTGGCGCTGACAAGTTCGTGTCCTGATGGGCCGGAGCCTTTCCGTGTTTGTTTCCTTGGACACTGATCTGACATTTACCCCGCGAGATGGTGTAGATGACGACAAGGACGCCTTCTGGCTCGCCCAGGTCCATTTTGCTAGCGGCAACTTTACTCGAGCGCAGTCGCTGCTGTCCAAATCCGACCTCGTGGCGCGCAACCCGTCGTGCCGATACCTGTCGGCCCACTGCCTGATCAAACAGTCGCAGTTCGAGGAGGCGCTCGCGGTGCTGGGCGACCGGAACCCCACACACCTCATCCCGACGGCGTCCAACAAGCGGCGGGCGCGCGAGGTCAGGACCAAGACGAACGGCAGCTCGAGCGGCACCAACGGGGTCGGCGGCAGCAAGGCGCAGACGGTGGCGGAGCGGCAGCAGCAGCTGCGCGACGAGGAGGCGGCGGCGGCGGACGAGGAGGAGGCGCTCGCGCGGCGGTACGAGGCGGGCATGTGCTACCTGCGGGGTCTCTGCTTCGCCAAGCAGAACGCCTTCGACCGGGCCAAGGAGTGCTACAAGGACGCGGTGCGCATCGACGTGCAGTGCTTCGAGGCGTTCCAGCAGCTGACCAAGAACCACCTCATGTCGCCGCGCGAGGAGTGGGAGTTTCTGGACGAGCTCGGGTTCGACGCCATGCGGGTCGAGGGGCCCGAGGGCGACGTGTCGGACGAGGCGGCCAGCTTCACAAAGATGCTCTACAGCACGCGGCTGTCAAAGTACCGCAACCAGGCGGCCTTCAAGACGGCGACGGAGGCGCTGTCGAGCCACTACGGCCTCGGCGACAACCCGGACCTGCTGCTGGCGCAGGCGGACCTGCTGTACACGCAGTGCCGCTACAAGGACGCGCTGGCCATCACGGGCGGGGTGCTCGAGGTGGACAAGTACAACTTTGCCGTGTACCCGCTGCACCTGGCGTGCCTGCACGAGCTGCGCATGACCAACGTGCTGTTCCTGGTGGCGCACGACCTGGCCGACCACCACCCGGAGGAGCCGTGTACGTGGCTGGCGGTCGGCATCTACTACTTTTCCATCGGGCGCGTGGCCGAGGCGCGGCGCTATTTCAGCAAGGCGAGCATGATGGACGCGCACTTTGGGCCAGCCTGGATCGGGTTCGCGCACACGTTTGCCGCCGAGGGCGAGCACGACCAGGCCATCTCGGCCTACTCGACGGCGGCGCGGCTCTTTATGGGCACGCACCTACCGCAGGTTTTCCTGGGGATGCAGAACCACGCCATGCACAACATGACGGTGGCCGAGGAGTTCCTCAAGACGGCCTACGACCTCTGCCGCGACGACCCGCTGCTGCTCAACGAGATGGGGGTGGTCTTTTACCACCAGGACCGGCTCAAGGAGGCGGCGCAGATGTTCCGGCGGGCGCTCGACGTGGCGGCCGAGGGCGACGGCGACCCACAGGCGTGGCTGTCGTCGCGCACCAACCTGGCGCACGCGTACCGGCGGCTGCGGCTGCACGGGGACGCGCTCGAGCAGTTCGACGAGGTGCTGCGGCTAGGTGGCAAGGACCCGGCCATCTTCTGCGCCAAGGGCCTGATACACTTGGACCAGGGCCGGCCAGAGGAGGCCGTGGTGGTGCTGCACGAGGCCCTAGCCGTCAACCCGCAAGACCCCGTCGCGACGGAGCTGCTGGGCAAGGCGCTCGACGAGACGGCGGGCGCCAGCCTGGGGCCCGACGATGACCTGGCCGACGTCGAGGCCTTTGAGCAGGACCTGGCCCGCCGCGAGCGCGCCATGCGGCTGCGGCGGCGCGGTGCGGCCGACCGGGCTGCGGCGGCCGGGGACGGGCCCGTCGTGGGGCTGCGGGCTCGGGACAAGGGTAAGGGCAAGGAGCGGGAGAGGCTGCAGCCGAAGCGGGAGAGCCTGATGGATATGAGCGACATTGAGTGAGGGTGGGGAAAAGGGGGCGTGTACCTGGCTGGGGTAGGATGCATTGGGCTGTTTCTGCAAGGCGTTTAGGATGACGGAGACGAACACGTGGATTCAGGGGTAATATAACAGCATTTCTAGATTCTTGCATGGTATTCGCCATTTGTGGTTACCAAACGGCGAAGGAGATAGGACAAGCGTCAGCCGGATTTGCAACTAGCCGGGTCGCTGACTGCCGGTCCGTCAATTGACAATCACGATGTTGGTGGACCCACTCACACTCTCGCACTTTGGCTCGCACTCGCTTACACAAAGCCTTACACAAGGCCTTCTTCGATCGGCAGTCGGCCACATTCCCCGGACGAGGTGTCCGCATTGCTGACATGCTTTTGTTGCGCGGTGTCTCGGTTGAGTGCCCGGATGGAGTGTTATAATCAAGTGGTGCTGATAACAGGGCAAAATGGCGAGATATAAATGCTGTAGATTCGGACCGTCCTCGTCGACATTTTCGTCTCAAAACCAAAGCCTCGATAAAAAGCCATAAACCGAATTGACAAATAAATCCCAACACAACTCCCGGAAAAACACACACAATGTCCCGCCTCTTCCCCCACGCCGACTACGCCGAGGACCAGCCGCTCCACCGCACCATCCTGGCCACCCACGTGGCCGCCCGCGCCGCCACCACCGGCACCCTCGCCGGCGCGGCCGTGCTCAGCGCACGCGCCCTGCTGCCAAAGAGAGCCGCCACACCGACGACAAAGACACCAGCACCCGCCGCGACTGCCGCCGCGCTGAGGCTCCTGCGCGCCTCGGGCTCGGGTGTTGCGTGGGCCACGGCGCTGGCGGGGCTGTACCTCGGGGCGTCCATGGCGCGGTGGGAGCCGATCGAGTACGTAGTGGCTGTTTACACCATCCCTCTCTCTCTCTC